AAAAATAAAAATAAAAATTACATTCCCAGCCGCTATACTAGAGTCTGGGTTGGCATCAAGAGAAAGGATCTTGCTAGTCTCTCCAATGTCACCAGCTTTATCACTCCCAATATTTGTTTCCGAATTGGCGTCCAGACCATCAAGATCAATCTCCATACTGTCGTGAACAATATGATGAGGGGGCATCTTAGTCCCTTGATGTGTTTTACCACTGGCCTGAGCAGTAGGCTTCAAACGCGACAAGTCTTGCCGCAGGCTTGAAAGAGATGCCAAAATTGAAGCCCCCGTCATAATTGAAGGATCCTCTACCCTCCTTTCGATATGTAATAATCTACCTACAGTAGTCTGAACCTCTGCACCACCAGCTGATGAGGGGGTCTTGATAACAATATCAGTCACTAGTAGCTGAAAAATCTATATAGAGTAAAATTAAGGAAAATTGTCACATTGATGAATTCACACACACACACACACACACACACACACACACTACACAATCCAACAAGGAAAAGGTATTAAAGAATATTGAGAACCCATGAGCAAAACTTTAATATTGATCAAAGAGCCGCACTGAAATGAAATAGATGGATACATAAGCATGGTTCGCCAAACGACCAAAAACCACCTCATCACCAGAATTGACGACACAGATGTTACCCCTCTTAATAATCTTCCCATTTACTTGCACAGATCCCTTCATCCCCCTGCTTTCGAGCATAGCAACAAAAGTGTCTGCGTACTGATCATTTCCATTTCCACAAACCATGAGTACATAGCCAAGTAACACGCCATGTATTTGCAAAATAAATATTGAATTAATCCTCATGGATATGAGTTTAATCAAAGAAATACCTTTGCCTGCTTGATCACACACAAATTTGCACTAACGGTCTGGTCCTTCAATACAAGATCATTGAATCTGCTTGAACCGATTAAAAATTTTGATGTGCAAATTGGAACATTCGAATTCTGCAGTAAACAATATAAACCCGTTTATGTGTACATAAAACAACGAGAACTCAAAAAATGTGGCTTCATCTAGTGTAGAAAACCCAATTGTGGTCACCAAAAGAACACAATTTTTTAAATCTCATCAGGAGAAAGCTTTAAACCTGTGCGTACTGCGACAAAAGCCTGCACCATGGGGTTGTAGAATCAAAACTCGGCCTCTTCTTCTGATGAGCACTCCGTGAAGATAAAGAAATCTTCGGTTTATCCGCCACAATTGGCCAAGACCCTCCAAGACGCAACCAAAAACAATATATTTCAGTCTCTTAAATTCATATAAGACATCAACTATGTTTGGGAAATCACATTTACACCATGTTTGAAAATCTAAGATAAAGAACTCTTTGGTTTATCCACCTTAAATGCTTTTATATTTCTTTAGCATCTACAAGGATAATTTTCATAGGATACAAAAAATTAATAATAATCCAATTTCAATTTTTCAAGAAGTGGATTGTAACTTAATTTTTGATTCAAGACGAAGAAAATCAATTTCTTTTTATTTTCCCTTAAAATCACTCAAACCAAACGGTCTATTATCACTTCTACACAGAAATAAACATACATGGAAAAGAACCAGAAAGAATCGACTAACCTTGAGCAACCGCTTGAGTTGAATCCACTTTCCCGGAACTCGGAGCTTCTCCGCCACCACCTCCGGCGGTCGGAGGATCAACAGAGCCACGTTCCGGTGGAATTACCACCGGAGTGGTGCACAATTGCTTGGAATTCTCAGCCGGAGTCGATTTATCTGATGCAAAGCCATTGTCAACCTGAAATTCAAGCAAATCAATGGTCAAAAAACGCGACAATTACCAAGAAAATGAAAAAAGGAATCAAGATCAAAGGGCGAGATTGGATTGACGAAGAGACCTTTTGTTGTTTTGGCCGCGGAGGCTTGTCTTCCGGCGACGGCGACGACCGCTTGGTGTTGTTTTCGTTGAGAGATCCACTTCTTCTTGTGGAAACCATGGTCTTGCTCGTTCGTCCTCTCCCCTTCGAAACCAGTTAGAGAGAGAGAGAGAGAGAGAGAGAGATGACACTCACTAGTAAAGAGAAATGCTACGTCTCAAGGAAGTTCTGGAAAAGTTTCCAGACACACGTCAACATATATATACCTTCATCAATGCCCATTAATTAAAAGAAACGGTTATGAATCCCAAATAATTACCATTAATTAATAGAAACGGTTATGAATCCCAAATAATTTATCAGCAATGCTAGTACTATGAAAATTTTTTCATAAAATAATTATGGAAGTTTTGTATTTCTTGAATGAGGAGGGATGGAAATCCCCTCCAATCACCACCTCCATCACCCCCACACACATGTGGTAGGTGGTGATTGGCGGGCAAGAGAAACAAAAAAAAGAAAAAGAAAAAGAAAATTCAATCAATGAGAAAGAGAGGGAGTCAAAGGGGTGAGAAAAAAAGGGTCTTAGACATTTTTTTTCTTGAATTATATTTAGAATAAAATATCACACATTAATTAAGGTAATTCAAAGATCATAAATCTTTCATGATCATTTTCATGAAAAATTTTTCATATTCCCTAACTTTTCTCATAATTTATTAAATGATTTATTAAATCTCTTATATAGATGTGAAATCTATATAAATAAATATATGTGTAAATTTCACATTCATGTGAAATGTTTGATAAAATATTTGATTCGTGAGAGGTTTGGTAAAATATTTTATAGATTATTTGGAGTTCCTAACATTACTCTTAATTAATTATGTAGACCCCATACAATATAATAGAATATTTGATAAATTAAAATTTAATATTTATCAAATATATTATTAGAAATAATTTTTAAGGTGATAAATTTAATTGTCTTAAATATTTTTTTATTTAAGTAAGTCTATGTATATAAAAACTAAATACATAATTGGAATATAATCCTCTCGCAAGGGTGATACTTACATGTAGGGGACTCATCCCTTGTGAGGGGGTTTTGTGTTCCTAATATGTTTTTGAACATCTTAGAACATTTCCAATTCATGTAGGACCCACTTCTTGTAAGAGAATTATATCTCGTTATGTTTTTTCTAACATTACTGTTTTCGTATACCTTAGAGCATGTCCAACCCACGCTGTTTTTTCTAACATTACTGTTTTCGTATACCTTAGAGCATGTCCAACCCACGCTCTTAATTAGAGGATGAAAATACATTTTTTTATTCAAAATTAAGTATAGAGTTTGCTATTATTCATTCAAACCACATTTTCTTCTTTAAAAATTTCACTCCAAAATATTTTCATCAAAAAATAAATAATTTTTGTTCATTAATAAAATTATATTATATTCATTTTAAAGGTATGATTTAACCCTTTCTAATGATACCAATTTTATAACAATTTAAATTTACATATTAAAAATTATTTGTAATATAATCAAAAATATAAAATGAATAGTGTTAGAGATTGTCTTATATTTTTTATCCTCGTTCCAAATATGGACAATCAACCCATCATTCTCTCAAATAGAGATGGATTTAGAGGATAGGTTGGAGATGCTCACTGCAAGACAAACAATCGCTTAGTTTGCTTTTAAAATTTTAAAAACAAATTTTGAGTTTTGATCTTTTTAGGACACTCATGTCATAAGTCTATTTCTAATTTTTTTGGGCCACTAGGTCCAACTTCTAATCTCTATGGACTAAAAAGACGCAATTTATCCAAAAACATAACTATACGTTGAAATCAACCTATCTGTCTATGTTTTGAAATCACCTTAATTCTTGAAATCACACAATTTGTGTATATATTAAAATTCATTAAGCCTATTTTCCTACCTATTAAAATTCACCAAACAACCTAACATAAGGTCTCGCCGGAATCATCATCATCATTGATTGCCTCGAGCTTGATGTGGTAGGTTATGGCATCATTCGAATGAATGAGTTTTCTGAGTGTCTTGTTGTAGTAAGTTATGCCCTTACTCCTAGAAAGAGACGCTTCCACCACCCTCACCAACCGAAGATTGGCCTTTTCTTTTTTGTTATGTTCCTTCAAAGCAAACTCTGCAAGGATGTTTGTAAGCATCCTTGATGTCCGACGAACCAAAAGTTCAAAAAGTATAGCAAGAAAGATCAAATGGGTCGTCATCGTCATCCCTTGACAATGTCATCATCATTCTAGCATTATATGAAACAAAGCCATCCTGCCGTTGCTGTTGCAGTCGCACCGTAACCGCAACATCGCAACTGAAAGGAGAAAGAGGAGGAGTTGGTGATTTTGATTAAGGCAGAGGCTGACAACAACCCTAACCCTAATTGAGGTTTGCAACATTGATACACGATGGTGTTAGCCCCATCGCTAAGAACAATCCAGAGTGCTATCCAAACAACGAGAAACTATTATCCAAAGAAACAAAGACGGATAAATAAACAAGCAACACATAACTAGGCTTTCTATCAAAATTTATAGGGTTAATAACAAATAAAATAAAAATAATTAAAGTCAGGTGTACATAAAATGTCTAAAATTTTTATAAATTTAATAATTGAACTTTTTTTTGAATTTTACTTGACAAAAATAGACAAATTATTTAGATTAAAAATAAATCAAAAAATTATATTTTAAATTTAAAAATTAAAAACTCAAGACTTGTTTTGTTAGAATGGTCAAATCTTAAGGTTTTTTTATTTTTTTATTTTCTCAAATTTATAAGATATATAGAGTTTTTCAAAAATGTCAATTATACTGCCCAAATTGTATACGAAGTTACTGGGTCATGATTGTTAATTTTTTGACACACGAACATATATACTCCACGAGCCAGTATCATAAATATTAAATGGGTTTAGTATTTATGTCACCACCTAATTTTAGGGGTTTAAAGTTAAAATCGCAATTTATTAATTTATAGTCGTAGTAAATTAAATTGCGTAAGCGGAAACAAAATTAATTAAACAAGAAATTATTTCATTTTACTATTTTAATAAGAGAAAATATATTTATAGGACTTTTATTATTTTATTATTCAGTGACCGGCCCCGAGTAGAACAAAAGAGAGCAAAAATATAAAAAAAAAAGAGAAGAAGAAAGATAAAAAAAAAGTGGTTCAACATCAACTCACGTGTGCGTTCCATTTGGTGAGATTCTGAGTTTCTCCTACATCTCGTCACCTGAAAGGATAACAACTATAAGCATACAGCAGAGTGAGAAATATTATGCCAAGCGTACAGAGAATACAAAATAACCATGGATAGTTAGTTAAGCCAAAACATTTACATAACTCAATTTGGTAAATAAATAATTTAAGTGACAAAAATTGAAATACAGAAATTATGTAAATAACTAACCATAATCACGGTACAGAACAGAACAAAGCATAAGTCACAGAAGTGACAATCAGAACAGAGGTCAATGGATCCGTGACAAACAGAGGACCACAAAGTGGCTAAATAGAGGCTAATAGTTATTTAAGTCCCCCAAAGCGTGAGACTTACAAAACATAATTGTTTATAAGGTTATAGTCAAATATTCTTTAAAATTTAAATAAACATATCCATGGGTTTCATTTAAACAAATAGAATTTAGAAATTAATCCACGTAACTGAAATATTTCTAAAATATAACTTGAATTAATATAACTTATAAAATATAATTTGTATAAAATAAATTATGATAAGTCAAAACATATATAAAATATATTATGGTAACTCAAGATATAATATAATTCATCTTAAGATTGAATCTTACTATTCTTCCTATTTTCTTGTCTTTTCGAAACTGCTTTTCCGCTTTTTGGTCGCTCTTTATTTCAGTCTCCTATATTTTTCTCATTCCTTTTTCTCTGACGCAGTCCCCCGGCAATTAAGCCTCCGTTTGGGAAGTGGGTTGGCTTTTTGGCTTTTTGGCTTTTTTGGCTATTTTAGCCTGGGCTAAAAAGCTTGGTTTGGGAAGGGCTTTTTGGCTTTTTTTTGTGAGAGAAGAGTGTAATGATTATGGGTTGGATGTGATGTTTTGTTTGTTGTGGCTAAAATAGCCTGTTTTGTTTTTTTGTGGCTATTTTAGCCCCAACCCACTTGCCAAACACCACCTAAGTATCTCTCCTAAAAGATTATAATCTATTAATTAATGCCGAAAACTAATTGGCCTTATCTCATATGGGCTTATTAATATTATTATTTATTTACTATCTTTAATTCTAATTTAATTCAATTAGCATTATAATTTTATATTTGTATTAATTTAGCCTCAAATAATAATATCTAATTAATCTCATATTTAATAACCCAATGCCAAATTAGATTTATATATTTATTTATTTAATAATATATCATCACATAAAATCATAATTATATTTAACTATAAATATTTATGTGGTATTTAATTCGTTTAATTATATTTATACATGCTAATCTTTTCACATTAATTAGTGATTAACTTAGCCTTAAATAAATTTCCGCATCACATATTTGATAACCATAATGACAAATTAATTTACATAACACGTATAGCTTATTTATTTTATTACTTCCATTATTATTATTTTTATTATTATTATTAAATTTTACTTTATCGGATACAATCACAAAATTAATTCTTTTATTTTATTATTATAGATTATTATTATTTTTTGACGTGTACAAGTCCACAAAGGCCATGAATCATTATAGACAACCCAAGCCCATCACTTGGAGCCCAATACATAACTCAGCTGGTGGAATTCAGACACATGGCAGGTGAAGGACGAGCCACATCAGCAGACAAAGATCTGCAAAGTTATTGCCACTGCACATCACCATTAATGCAGCCCATCACAGCATTTATTACGACAACACCTCCCCGTCAGAACATGACCCCCTTACCCTGAACAAGGTAAGCTACAACATAGACTTTCGGCGAGGAGGGCAGGTGGGAAGGGACAGTGAAATGATTACCAAAGGATATAAGCAAACGTTGAAGACAAGAAGAAGGTTAAGCTTTTTATCTCTAATCTTTCCCTCTATACTCTACTTCTCTTCCTAACTTGCTCGTCGGAGGGTTTCCTGGGGGACTACCCCGTTCATCGTGGAACTTGTTTGCAGGTTATCCGGTGGACTTGATCATTTGGACTTGGGCTTGAGGAGCTTGGACCAGTTCGCTCCACTCACTGGGATAAACTTTATCATCAGTTGGCGCGGTCTGTGGAAACGCTTTGCTCCTCGCGCCAGTTGTGTTCACTATCGCCGGAGACCCCGTTCTAACAACCTTTTCCTCCTACCCGTCAAAGTGTATGGTCACGACTAGATCCATGGCTTCTCACAATAATGCTGCCGACCATCAGGCCGACCCCCCCAATCCAAACAACCCACTGCAGTATTTTATCGAGCTTACCAAAAGCATTAACTGTATGGCCGAGCAAAACCAGACCCTGATAAATGTTTTA